CATTTTAAAAGCACCCGATTTCTAGAAAGTTCTGAATTCCAGCCCTTCTGGAAATCAAGCCTTTTCATTGTGCAGCACATTTTCAAAATCAGACAAAATGGTTCTTGAACCTCAGCTTGTTTGGATGCAGCAGCAAACTGAGCAAAAGCAGAATTTATTAAGCAGTCCTGAAGCCAGGACATGGGGGAAGCATGTTCTGCCCAGCTTCCTAAATGTTTCATCAAGCTAAGATGGGGCTTATCAGTGATAATTTCAATTAGTTCTTGAAATGACAGACTAAAGGTTAAAAGATTGCTTCCCATTGCATAAATGAGACTCTTAACAGCCTCCTGCTGGGAAATGGGAGGTCAGTGATAGCTTGAAAAGCCTTAGTAATTTCATAATAATAATAAAAAATTGTTCATTAAGAGAATGATATGATACAGTTGGCTGGAACAGCCAGGGCTCAGAACGTGAGCTATATCCTTAAGTTGAGTTTTGACTGTCAGATGTAGTGGTGTTATCACTGCTTCTCTCATGGCAATATTTTAGGTTTTCAGAGAAGGGATCAGAGTTAGAAGAAACTCATAATTTAAACCAGTCATATGGCAATAATTAGGGTGTCACCTTCAAGAATGAAAAGTCCAGTGTCAGGCGAAAATGCTGGCTGTCCTGGGAGCCATGAGTGCCAAACTCACTCATTCTGCATGGGAAAGCAGTCAAGGAGAGAAAGAAATTGTAGCATTGTTATGATGACTCATTATTTCTCTAGCTTTGACCCCCCCCTCAGGGCATCTCCTGGTGATTCTTCTCCCTCCCGTGATTATTCCCACACAAGACCTTCTGAATTATCACGTCAAACAGTTTATAGTGCCAATACCAACACATGTTTTGGGAGCGGCTAGGAGTTTTCTCCATTAATTGGGGCCTATAAGGAATCACTGGTTCAGATTAAGTTAGGAGTGAGAGAAATGGACTGCATGAGCATTTTATACCAGCAGCATGAACTACTTCATCAGTCCCTCCAGTTATTTAGGAAAGGTTCTTGTAATGAGCTGTCTGGGTTTGTTTTGGCTGTTGAAATTCTCTCATAGGTACAGAACAAAAGATCTCTGAGCAGAGTGACAGGTCCCTGGCAAAAGCACTCTGAAAAGAAAGACAACCTTTTGACCTTAAAGAAAATGCAAAGCTGGAGCAATTCTGTCATCTAACAAAAAATCCATGACAAGGCTAGGGCTCAGGGGGTGATCGGGAAGATTTATTCACCTCCTTAGATGCAGTTAAACCTGCTAACGTTATGGTAGATCTGTTGAAGGACAAGCCTGGATGGTACACAGAGGACACAGAATAACATAATGCAATTCTTTTACATTACAGTGCAATTGCATTAAAGAAAAATCTTTCGTGAAGAAAAAAATATTTGGACCAAACCAGTGACATATCCTGGTATTTACTAGCTGTACCAATGGGAGTTGCTGCTGGCCGGGTAGACTATGTTTTGGCAGAGCTTCTGCACATCATGGTCAGTCAACACCCTGTGCTGCAGCTGCCTGGGGAGACTTGGAAGAAGGGATTGACTTGTGCGGCAGGGGGCAATCATGACTTTGACGGTTGGCAGGAAACACAGAGCTGGCAATCTCACAGGGATGTTTGAGACTTTCTTCCCTATGCCTATGATGTTTATGCACTTAAGCTTAGAAGTTATCAGTCAGCATCTGAGAATGCATAAATAAAATATAACCTGTTCTTCATCCGCACCTCAAAACTTAGTTTTTCATTCTGCACGTAATATTATCCATGCCCACAGGTCTGTGGGGCTTTGTCTGCTTAGCAGATGACTGACAGCACATCGTCTTTTCTCTACACATATATTTTTCTTGCCATTTCAGCTGTAGAAAAGTCACTTTGTGCTGCAAACATAGAGGATTATGCTGTTAACTTGAAAGATTGTCCTAGATAGCTTTTCATCTGTACAACAGTGGGATAAAATGGGACCTGATGGCATCCATCCAAGAGTACAGAGGGAACTGGCAGAGGTCCTTGCCA